CTTTGGAACGGGCATCTCCTCTTGAGCTGTGCCTTAATTCGAGGTGAACAAAAAAAGAGATCAGAATAAGACTAAAACATCGAATTCCACACCGAAATAATGGAACTGGGACAAAGCAGAAACCCTGTAGGCAGTGTTTGAGGAATTTTGGCTGAGTGGGTGAGCTGTGGCTGGGCGGGGGCGGGAGTGCCCACATTGTCTGCGCAGCAGATGGGGAGATCCGCGCTGGTCCCGCCGAGGCGGGTGTGACACCGGCCCGCGGCTGTCACGGCATTCGGTCCTCCTGTGCGCCGAAAGCAGCGATAGCTACAGAAAGTGCCTTGCTTTCGGGTCCTTCAAACAGTTTTCTGAACGTGTAGTGTTCCTTAATTTAATCTTCCAGATCGCAGCTGACGATAAATACTGCAATTGTTTACATGCACAGGTTTTATATGCACCATTCCTTCACAAAATTTAACCGAAATGTAAGTACGGTTGTATGCGCGGTAATAACATGTCATAATTTTGGCAGTCTGTCTGACAAGAATTACATCTTGCTTTCCTAGATTATTAAATTTGGCCTGTTTGTAGGAATTCTGGCTTATCAGTGTTTTAGAAGCAATAATGGTCTTCTTTTAACTAGTGGCAATTAGACTTTTCTGCCATCGAAATAAAAAAAAAAAAAGGTGCCATCAGCAAACACATTTCAGATGTGTGAAGAATGCATTTAGATGTCTGGAATCTGCCTAGAGCTTATGTGCTGTAGTTTGAAAGGCTGATGTGTAGGAACACTTCTTTTTTTAATTAAGTCAGTGGTAGGGGTAGCATGGTGTGTCTGACAATTATGATTTAGTTATGTGTGTATCCATATGGTTTATGTGTCTGTTCTTGAAAAAGTGTAAGTTCGTTTAAGTATTTTAATCTTAAGCAGTGTAATAAGTCACATTAGATGAGAAAAATCTTTAAAACTTATGAGCAAGTGCCAGCTCTCCTGTTTTAACTAATGAACTGACTATTTTGAATCTGAATACAGTGTGTTGTGAAGAACTGAATTCTTTAGCAAAAATACTGCCTGTAATTGAGGGATTTTGTAACAGGTATGGAACTTGAGATACCAACTTGAAAATTTCAGACTTTTTTTTCATGTCCAGTGTTGGATGCAGTAGTTTAAAAAATAATACTCTGTTTTGCTTGGGTTTTTTGGTTTTTTTTGAAGAAAAAAAAGAAACACAACTTTTTAAAGTACAATGTTTTATACTAACTTTGCAATACCAGCTGATTACTATGGTGCTGTATCAGTGAGTGGTGAGGATGAATTCTCTTTAGATCTTGTCTGTCCATGATAAACGGATTGAGACTGTGACAGATGTTATGGTCTAGACTAGAGCAGACCTTGGTCTGCCAAGGGGTAGAGTCTTGCAGACCTTGTGCTGCCTGAAATTTGAGCAGGTACAGAGTGGGTTACAGTGTGAGCAAAGTCTTTTGTCTGGCATGAATTTGTTTATCAGTGTGGCAGAGCAAATGGATATCTTGTTTGGTGTTTATTCAGCAAGAAACGCTTATTAGTTTGTAGGTACATTTCAGAAGGGTATTTCATTGTTTTTGTGCAGAATCTGAGGTAAATTGAAACTTCCAGCAAGCCTGTTACCAAAACTGTTGTGTTGCTGGTCTCTATGTAATAAAAGCCAAGTGTTTAAGTAATGCCTCTGCTTGGTGTAAGTCTGAAACATT